CACAAAAATAAAACATCAACATCTTAAGACTAACCTTCAAGGTTTGTTGTCTCATGTGTACATATTGATCTTCAGTAACTCAAATCTCAAACTTCAAGTTTTCAGGCTTTTTTCGCATTTTGTTTGCACTTTGATCATTAAAATATCCTCAATCGAAGAGCCAGCAAACACCACGAGTATCCACAGAGTTAGAAATGTTGGTGAACTTGTCATACTCCTTCATCCATATTCACAAAATATTACAAAAAGGTGTCGATCATCCAGTGACACCTCGCAGAAACGCGTCGAAAACTCTACATATGGCGCCGAATGCGACAAACTAATTCCACTCACGCATGCGCAGACAAAATGCCTCTCTGCTGGGGATACCTTATTTCAAGAATGCATGACCCTTCACACCCTAACATCAGTATGCATATTCTCCATTCTACGCATTTCCTAGGGTTCTAACATCAGTATGCATATTCTCCATTCTACGCATTTCCTAGGGTTCTGACGGGAGAATTTGTTGAACAATCAAGAGTAATGTACATGAAGTGTCCTCCCATTGTCATAACTTGGTGACCAAATTTTTTCTTATGGTGACCATTTCACAACTGAATGTCACAAAAAGGTAACTTTTTTTAGTATGAAGTATGGAGCCCTGCTCAAAGAAGAAAAATGCTTCAGAAACTAAATAACTTTTATCTGTGTTATTAAAAATTGTAATTCACCTTTCAAAACGGTATAAGATTCCAAAGAATAACCAATAACCATTTGGAAATTGTCTTCAAATATGCTAGAATATTGACAGTAGGCACTGCCACTTTGAAAAACAACTCAGAAACCTGAGCATTTGTATGAAACACACTGTGCAGCACCTGCATTGTCAGTGCTCTAGTTATTGCAAAATGAACTCATTTGAGCAAAGGATGCCTTTTTGCACAGCTCCTAACTATTTGCAAAGATCTGCAAGGAATAAAAGGAAAAAGGCTGTTTGACAACTTCTGTTGTTATCTTTCAAGATGAAGTAACACTCTTTTCCTTCAAACGTTTAGATCTGCAATTGTATTTCTAAAACATGTACCTATATATAATATGCAACAATATACAACTGTACAAAAGTTCAAAATAATGCTAATGCCGGACAATTCTTTAAGGAAGAAGTCTCAAATCAAAGCACAGATTTACTTCATGACAAAATTACTTGAAAGCACAGATTTGCCTCTTGACTGCTTAAAAACAACATTAATTGTAAGCTTAAGTGTTTTGTACAGTATGGATTACCTCTAGATCATGGCATTATGAAGTCATATTGCACATTCCTTTAAATACAGCGTAGCTTATTTTATTTCAACAACAAAACTATCTTGTTTTCATTTACCTGTGTTTAAAGCTATACAACCATAAAATAAATAAAAATAGTAAAAAGTGCAAGTTTTGGGATGAAATATCATGTAACTTACAATAACAGAAATCTGCTGGATACGTAATTTTCAGTATAAACAACTGATAAGAACAATCCTGATCTTATTTTTGAACACTCACTATTTTATTTAAGAATTCCATCTATTCCTCATTTGGCTAGAGAATCCAATTACCTTTGAAAAGTGGAGAATATTCAATAATTTCATTATGTAATTTCAACTTTGTGCTTGCCTTTTAATGAATCTAATAGCACAGAACACAATTATTGACACTTACTTGGCCCCACAATGTCTACTAGAGTATCAATTTCAAAACACAAGGTAAAATATTTCTTCACTAAACTTCAAAGTATAATAACACATAAGCTTCTTGGATCAATGAAAAATAAATACACACTGCAGATTTGTTTGCACGTGATGCAATCTGCATGAGAACTTCAACAATATAATTATTCAAGAAATTTGACCAAAGGGAGAGACAGCCATAAAAAAAAGTGAAATGTCACAATTCAAAAAGGTTGTCTGAAATATTAACAATGATGATAAAAATTTGAAGTTAATAGGGAATAGCAATAATTAAATGCTGATGACAAAATTTGATACTATCACTTTTTACAATAGATAAAAGGTAAAGGAAAGTCAGGGTATGCCAGGATGGAACTGTACTCAAAACACGGCATTCCTTTACTGTGATATCAAATTTGACATTTTTAAGGACAGCCCATCGACTTAATCATGCCCAAGAAGCAGAGACTTTGGCCCTTCTAGGTGACATTCCAAATCATCAAAAATTCCCAGCCGTTGGAAATTGTGAGTAAGAGATAATAAAGAACTACCGAAAGAAAATTGTGTCAATATTAACACCTTGTTCAAAATTCAAAAGATGACAGAAAGCTCTGACACCACTGGTCAAGGCTTTTAGTGGGTGCTCTACAGTGTCTTGAATTATGACATGGTCTACTGACACTGTCACAATAATGCACTTTAACTTATATTAGCATAGCCCTGTCCATTTATAAAACCTTCCCGAAATTTCTAAAGAATGCAATCAGCACGTCACACTTTCACATACTCCAGAAGAAATAGCTTAAATCATGCTGTAATGCAGAGAACAGGGAGAAACTTGCATTATATCATAAAAATTCATCTAAAGCCAAAAAAATGTAAACAAAATGCTCCAAAGGTGAAAGATGCAATATGAGACTTTTTAGTAAAACAAGTCTTGCATTGAATTCACAATCAATTTTTGCTTTCTAACGATAATATTTACAATTTCTTTTGCCCTGTACATTAGTGTTATTAATAAACATGACATAGTTTGCCTCATTCTCTTTTATGACAAGACCAGAAGAATATTTTAAGCCCATTAACTTTGTGGCTGCAGATAATCTTCGAATCATATTATCACAATGACAATTTTAACACAAAATGTAGACACTGATCTGAGATATGTGCTTGGATTCACAGACACCAAAGTTTTCAAACACATACCCGACTACCCCGTCTTATGCAAACATGACAGGAGTGAATTGAAATAGTTTCAGATTAAAATGTAGTTAATCTATATGTTTCAGCTTAGTTTACTCCCAACTAAAACTTAACTGTTTTTTTTTTTATTCAAGTGGTTAGGTCCTAATAGAGTACTGATATTGGAGCAATGATTTTCAAGAAGTTACAACAATTTAGAGCCTTTTCTTTCCACATTAAAAAAAAATATATTTAGTCAGAATAGTTGCTAAATGCTCTGCTTGAGCAAAAAACGAAGTTGATTCATAGCTTAGGGTTCATAACTCAAATTGTAACATTCTGTATATTATATGATGTTCCACTCTGCTTATTTTCAAGTCTGCATAGCGACACATTCTAGATTATATATTGTCAAACTCCGTATATTCACGGACAAATGAAAATGAAAAATGACATATATTTCTATGCATATTTTTCTGAGGCCAAAAGTTGAACCACGATATCATTTTCAAGGGTGCATGAACCTTCCTCTGTCAGAAAGAAAAGTCGTTTTCATGAAAATTACTGGGTTTATGCTTCCCTTCGTTATTATTTAAAATCCCACAGAACAAAAGCGCTTTTGTCTTTCTTGAGTTATAAGAATGACGAAATTCTAATTGAAGGGCTAAACTGCATAAATAGAAATCGTATTGAAAGGCAACGGGCAGAAATTCAAGGACGGAAAGCATTCTTGTTAGATTGACTTTGGAAGTTTCAATTAGGTTATCGCTGTTGAAATCTACACTGGATCTGAGAGATGATCGATTTCTTTCCGCGCTTTAACTTCATCAACGGCAAAATTCCACAATCCTTGAACCGATTCGACTCGGTGCGTCAAATCAATCTTCATTCACATCATATCAAAAGAAAAACAATATTCACACCATGCACTGTACTTTTGATTCGCAACGTGTTGGACGCTTCTAAAGAAGATAAGGTCGGCTTCACGTTTTTGAAATTAGCTCAGCTCTTTGTGGCAGTGCTGTAATTTGCCACAGGGAGGTCTATCATTACTCTGAATAATAAATACAGTCACGTACGAGGGGTTACTTCATAATAAATTTATCTATTAACGCTATGCCATGACACATCCAATGCGAAACGCAAGACAATTGTATTCAACAACAACATGCACTTACCCTCGTATTTGCCGACCTCTGAATATACAAGCCTCCATTGCGGCTTCCTTTCTCGCCGAACCAAAAATTTGGTGGAGGTAGAGTTTTGTAGATAGTAGTAGCTCTGGACAGTTCACGTTGCTGTGAAGCAAATTCGACTGGGTCTATCGCTTTTTCGTTTTTATAAACACTACTTTCATCTTGGGAGCCGCTTCCGGAAGGACCTTCGTTGTTCTGTAGTCGAGCGCGATAAATTTCACCCAAATTTGCAGGTCTCGGGGGCAAAGATGGCGGTCTTGATACACTCTCTAATCTTCTTAGAAATTCAATTCGTTGTTTATTCGCTTCTTCACTCAATGGCTCGCTACCCAGGACTTCTTTAAGAAATTCTTCCAACCCGGGTAGTGTTTGGTTAATAGCTGTCGAGAGAGAGAGTCATGTTAGCACGGAGGTTTCACGTTGTTTGAGGCCTAAAAAGCGTCCATTAAAATGTCGATTAAAAGATCACTGAGTCTAAGTTGTTTTCAATACAACTACACAAACAAGCCAGAGCCTCTGAAAGCTTCGAAGACAAATACAACGCATAGAAATAATAATGCAAGAAGAAGATAAAAAAACACGCAGGCAAAACATGAAGGTAAGAAAGCTTCAAGTTCACCAACGAAAATCTCACCGATAAAGCGGTCATGTTTATCCATTCTGGTCTAGTCAGCCAAGTCCTATATTGCATCGTATAAATCAACCCATTTTGTATTTCACCAAAAACAACGTTAAAAAATCCTACTTCAAAAACAAACGAGTCATCCAATTCACCGCCATGTTTTTCTTGCCCAAAAGGAAACTTTCGAGTGTTGACTTTGTGATCAGATGACCAACAGTTCGTATTCTGATTGGTCGTTCGTCGATTACGACTTAGCCGCTGCCCGGTTGTTCTAGGTCAAAAGCGACGGATTCTTTCTTAAACAAATGCAACAAAACTGAAGTCCAAAAGAAAAAATATCCTTGTCACAAAGTTCAAATATCTCTTTTGGCCTTGCTTTTCTACGCGAGAAATAAGCGGGTTTGTGCCTTCAAAGACGGCTGATAGCACCCTTTTTATAATCTGTTTATTTAAGTAATAGTTCTATAGTAACAATAGCGGAGAAGCTGCACAGCTGTCAAAAAAGTGAAAAGAGGCCGAAAAATACAAATTAAAAAAAGTAGATTGAAATAGGAACTAGAACAACGAATGGGTAATACAAATCTCTGGTCTTGTGTTCATAACTTTACTAAATCATGGAGAAGCAATGATAGCCAATTAACCAAGTTATCCTTCGCAGAAACCGTAAAAACGGAAATATTTTTATCTAAATGAGTTCGTTATTTTCGCAGAACGTTTAAAACATTTAAGATTATGCAACCATTCACAAGCAAAATTTATTGTTGATATTAAATGAAGCTTATCGTTTTATCTGAACCTTTATCGATCAAATGGAATGCAGGGTCGATTTGTATGATATGTGCTTTCGATTCGGGTCAACTGATCATCATGTGTAAAAAGAATCCAATCACAAATGCATCATCGACAATTTAGAAAAACGCTTAAATCAAACACTAATTTTCAGTGATCCTTTCGTTTTTCTTATTTCCATTTCAAACTGATTTTATATTGCCGCTACACATTCGCACCGGAAGTTCAAAATTTGTCCCACCCAGGTTTGGAATTGTAAACGTAAAACTTGTTTCTGGCGTCCACAAACCGAAGTATGCAAGAATCAAGTATAATCCCCATAAACCTACTTGAACGGGAGAGGTCTCCGGAATTTTTTCTAGCGCGAAAAAAAGCACAAAATATTGAAATAGAATAAACATTATATCTAAGAAAGCACGGTAAAAAATAAATCGTAAGGTCCTGGTATACTTTTTAGGAGATATTTATAGAAGTTTCGATCAGCTCAAGGTATCACTTTCCTAGCATTCATTGAATTAAGTGAGGCCTATTATGTATACATTCTTCGCTGACATTTACCGAGGGTATACAAACATCTGTCAATTAAAATTGACAGATGTTGTAAAATTGAAAAGCAGTCTGGCCTGTCTATTGGAGTGATCACTCTACCCTAAATATATTTCTTTTGGTTGGATGATGTCACAACCCTGACATATTCGAAGTTTCATTTCTGTAATGGTACGAAAATAAATACTCTGCTACAATAAATTTGATCAGTATGGAATCGGGACCTGTTTCCGGTTCATGCCTTGTTAACCAGGCTAATGATTGTTACCGTCGCTCCCTTGGGGGCTTATCATCCAAAAAAGAACGCCGAAATTCCACCAATTTAATTTTCGCTCCCATCGAACTTACGGATGGAGCAAAACAATTCCTTGTGTGTGCGTGTGTGTGTGTGTGTATGTTTTTTTTTTTTTTTTGCAGACTTCTGGATGGCTTTCAGAGCTACAATAGCGGTGTTTCAAGTACATACCTTTAAATCACCAACCGTCTTCAATCAATTTGACCCGATCACGCCAGTTTCTACTTCGGACCATTTAACTTGCACCCCCAAGCGATTAACCCAATCGAACCGGTTTTAACAGTTCCAAACAAACTTCTAAAAATTTCAATGGACACAACTGGGCGTCCATAAACAAGCCAACTGGGACAGTGCCCGACCTTTAAAGAAACATCGTTACGATCTTTTGCCGACCAAAAAAAGATATAAACAAATCGGGTTCGAAATCCCTTTAAAACTCGACAAGCTTGATTGACATAGTTGATTGACGAAGCTCTTTCTATTTGTCGGTTTATATTTATATCCCTCACTTACTTTTTTCAACATGTTCAATCAAATATGCAGCCCTCTCTCCTGCTCTCCAGCCCTTCACCTCAAGTATTTCTGATCACCCGTCAGTTGTATTTCAGTTTCAATGCCAATCAGCTCAATATCTAGGAGCAAGAGAAACTAATCAGCCTCTTTAGATTCTACTGATAGGAGTGGATATGATTAAAGAACCTGGATGCATCTTTTAACTTCCTTTTGTAAAAGCGAGCGGGAACTTGATGGAATCTAGGAATCCCGAAAAAAGCTGAACATAAATTTTGACCAGCCCATGATACTGTACTTGACAGACATCGACCTAAAATCAACCCGTTTTTTCATATTTCGCGTAAGGTGGCTCCTGCAGAATTGTCAATTAGATTCAGTAAAAACGTGCTGCCTTAAGTAATACAATGTGGGGGAGAAAGAAGCGTCTGGGCCCCTGTTGTCGTGACGAGACGTTAACACTTTAAGTTGCACGGGTCGATAATTACCAGGTATACGTGCAATACAGTCGGAGTTGAACTACTCTGGCAACATCTAGAAACTGAAGAAAAGTAGCCTTTACATATCTTCACGCTGTCCCCTAAAACTCTCCTAAGTCTATTGAGCGGAGAATATTATATCAACAATGGTCGAGTTGGTCCGTCTTCAAGAGAGTTTTTTTAGTAATTAGAATTGTTTTTCTGGGATTGGAGACCACAGACATATGGTAATCAAACTTATATCATAGTTGCTGCACAAAGCCGGTCACATCTTGTTACTGAATTCATTGCGTTAGTATCTCGCGCATTGTTAGGATTGCCTTTGGTTAAATTGTTCCGTTAATTTCCCGCGCATTGATGAGATTCTCTTTTGATGAATTGTTACCGATTAGTATCTCGCGCAATGTTAGTATTCCCTTTTGATAGATTGTTACGGTAATATCTCGCGCACTGATGAGATTGTTACCGGTTAGTCATCTCGTGACGAGAATTTAATTAAATTTGATTGATACGTCAGGATCTCATTCCGGCACTGTTAAGATTCTCTTTTAATGGATTGTTACGTTATTTACTATTATCTCCCACATTGTTAGGATTTCCATTTGATGGATTGTTACGTTAGTATCTTGCACACTGTTGGGATTTTCTTTCGATTGATTTTTTCGTTAGCATCTCGCGCACTGTTTATGTAAGTTAGAACTCTCTTTTGATGGATTGTTACGTTAGTGTCTCGCGCAATTTTAGGATTCTCTCTTGATCGATTATTACGTTACTTAGTGTCTCGCGCACCGATGAGATTCTCTTTAAATGAATTGTTACCTGTAAGTATCTCATGACGAGATTCCCTTCGAATGAATCGGGTTTGTCGACATTGTTAAGATTGTCATTAGATCGACTGTTACGTTAGTATCCGTTCGTGCAATTAATATTAAGACTTTTCAGTGATGGTTGTTACGTTTGTTACTCGCACTTTGTTAGGACTGCCTTTTGATGGATTGCTACGTTAGTATCTCGCACAATGTCAGGATTCTCTCATGCTGTATTGTTATGTAGTATCGAGGTCCTTTTCGAAAACCACCTTTTGTGAAAAAGTTTCCTCAATAAAGATCATTGTTATTATTATGTTGGTATCTTGCTATTAGGATCCTCTTTTGATGGGTTATTTCGTTAGTTTCTCGCGCTGTTCTTTGAGGATGGATTGTTACGTTTATGTCTCGCGCACTGTTTTGATTTCCCTTTGATGGTTATTACCTTAGTATCCGTGCAATGTCAGGATTGCCTCTGGGTGGTTGTCACTTTAGTATCTCGTCGCGTTCCGTTAAGATTCTCTGTTGAAAGATTTTTACGTTGGTATCTTGCGCACTGTTAAGATTCTCTTTCGATGGATTGTTACATCAGTACCTTGCGCACTGATGAGATTCTCTTTTGATGAATTGTTGAGCTTGTCAGAGTATCATGCGCTTTTATAAGATTCCCTTTTAATGGATTGTAACGTCTGTATCTCGCACATTGGTAGGATTGCTTTTTGAAGGATTGTTAAGTTACATGCTACGTACATACATTGTGATTTCTAGGCACGAACTTGAAGTACTTCAAGAACAGTGTTCCTCGGTTGTTTATAAGGCAATGCAACTGTAAACTTTGTGGCACTTCTCGAGGTCAACCTTAGCAAGTACTTCGAGAAAACCAGGATGAGGTTTGTGAATACATTTTTCCATCTTTATGTATTTTTCAGGTTGCATTTAGTTAATGTGATAAACAAATCGACCATGCAAGCTTGCTCGGTATTGAGACCTAATGGTGGTTATGAACATTAACCTCTTTCTTCAGTTTTTTTAGTTGTTGTGGTCCTTGACTTCTTCTCATTCCATTAAAACGCAAAAATTGTTGAATATCCAGATTTTTCAAACCTACGGTCAGTGAATAATGCATATACACAATGAAACCCTAGAAGTGCCAAGGGGCACTCAAAGAACCCTTGCTCGTGCACACACAACAAACGGGGTGTGCATATGATACACGCATTAATGAGTCGTGTTCACTTTAGCAGCTCAAGTGTCAGGGTTATTAAATTTTCAACACCTATCTCACCCTTCTGAGAGTTTTGATGGAGCCTTTCCCTCATCAAGAAGCTGTATCCTCAACTTCCTTCTGGAAAAAGGCTGATAGTTTCGAAATAAACTGTTTGGGGCTGCGTCGGTGGGAATAACGAAATAATTCATTCCTAATGGCGAAGGCCTTCTGGCCCTTAAACATTTTTTTGATCAACGTACTCAGTGGGAACG